TTATTCTTAATACACAACAATTTAGAAATTTAATTTTCAAGACAGTGAGTATGATAAAAAAAGAAAAATGTATGTACAATTTTTTTTATGGAAAATAAATGGATAAAATGTCTAAATCCGCGTGATTTATTATTACTATTTTTTTATTTAAATTACAAATTCTCATTTAAAAAAAACTGTTCATAATAAATAAAATACAAAATAAAACAGAAATCCGTACGACTCTTAAAGAATAAATAATTAAAGATTTCAGAAATAATTGGATTCAACACATTTTATATATTGGTTATACAGTTTTATGTTGATAGAAAAATATATTTACAAGTACATAGTACAAGTAGTAATATATTTATTTATTATAAAAAATTACGTTTATTCCTTCCCCCTTTCTCCTTATAATAGTACCCCTACCCCCACCTCTGTCTCTTCCTCCTCTTCTTCTCCATCTTCCTCTTTCTCTCCATCTTCCTTTCCCTCTTCCTCTGAGGGCCTCAAACGCTGCAAAAATGATGCTTTCCAAGTTTGAAGTCTAAAACAAAAAATTTTAAAAATATGTTAATGCATTTTATGAAAAAAATTATATAATATAATGAATAATATAACAAATAATTAAATATTAATTTTCTATTATCGATACTTACATTAATCATAATATCTTGTCTAGCTGTTGCTGTCGTCGTCGTCGTCGTCGTCGTCGTCGACGGCATAACAGCTGTGGTCGCCGTTGGTATCACCATCGTGGTCACCGTCGACATCATCGTCGTGGTCGTCGTCGTCGTCGGTATCATCGCCGTCGGCATCACCGCCGTGAACGTCGTCGGCGTTACCGCCGTGGTCATCGTCGGCGTCACCGCCGTATATATAATTATATATATATTGTGACGTTGCAGCCCGCTGCAGCGGAGCAGCGTCTCGCCGCCGTGATAAGGCGCGGGTTCGCGTCCTTTTTGCCGGCCGACAGCCGCGTTATCGTGAGCGAGACCGAGATCTCCGGGAGACCCGGATAATTAACGCGCGTATTTTTTGTTAATTATTTTGAACCTCTTATGTGATACGGCACCTCACCAGACGCAAGGAGCTTCGACGGCGAGGATTCAAGGACACCGGCAAAGAAGAGGACGCGAGGCGCCCGCGGAAAAATTCGCCGAATACGCCCGAATACCCCGCGGAGCGCCGTGATTGTTCGCGTATGCGCCGTTATGTTGCGCACCCCCGGGTTGGGGCAGCCATCGATCGCGTATCGAACGCGATCTACGTCGCTTTTGCGCGCGAGCGGAGAGAATAGACTTGCGCTCTGATCCTAAGAATTTCTGGGATACAATCAATAAACTTAAAAAATCAACCTTCTTTAACACGAGTAGCATGCCCTCCGAAAGTAAGACTATCTCAATTGGTAAATTCATTGATAGGTTTGCCCCCTCATGGACCCAAAATCAGTTAAAAAATCCATCCTACTCAGAGGTCAACCCGTTTTTTAATCCCACCTTCTCTTCCTTTGAATTGAATGAAATCATAAGCAATCTTAAGAAAGGTAGCAGCCCAGGTCCAGATCTTATCAGTAATGATCTCCTCAGGATTTTGCCTCTTCTGTCAATAAATAAGTTACTTTTAATTTTCAATCAGATAATGGAAGATGGATCCTTCCCTGAATCATGGAATCAGTGTGACGTTGTTCTAATACCCAAACCCAGAAGGAATGATTTCAGACCAATTACACTGGCTTCCAGTGTTTTGAAGGTACTCGAGAGACTGGTCAAGTCTAGAGTAGAAAGGCTGATAGAACTCGACTATTTGCTGCCTCCATCCCAGTTCGGCTTTAGGAAGGGTAGATCTTGCGATGACTGTTTGGCTTTGCTGAACCTATATATTTGCAAAGCTTTTTCCAACAGGAACCTAGCGGGAGGTCTTTTTCTGGACATCAAATCCGCATACGACAACGTAGACCCGAATATCCTATTTGAGGAAATCGATAAACTCAAAATTCCATATGGCTATAAAAGCTTCTTAAGAAATCTGATCAGTCCAAGATCGGCGAACATCTTCGAATCCGGTTGCTTCTTTGCTTCTAGACTACTACGGAGGGGTCTCCCCCAGGGGGTGGTTTTGAGCCCTCTATTATTTAATTTATATGTAAGACATATCCTGAGGTACATCCCTCATAATTGCCAAGCTTTACAATTTGCGGATGATATCGCTATAGTATGCGTTGATCATTCCATTGAGAGAATTGTGAACAGTCTATCCGAAGCTTTTGAGGGTGTAAACGGATGGTTGGAGTCTGTCGGATTGGAGATCTCGATATCAAAGACTCAATTTACTATCTTTAATCGCCTTAGATCCCTTAACCTTCCTAATGGACTGCCGGTGGGAGACAATGTAATTCCTCTGACGAATGAGGTTAAATACTTGGGACTTACAATGGACTCCGTTGGAAAACACATATCAGAACAATCCGTAACAAAACATCAGTATTTATCAATATACTAAAATGGTTATGTGGCAGAAATTGGGGTATCGCCCCGCTTGCGGGAATTAAATTCATTAATGCAATCATCGTGGCCCAAATGGAGTGGGGATCCATTTGGTGCGCTGCAAAATCTTATCTAAAAGTCATAGAAAGAATAATCTGTTCAGCCTATAAAGTGGCACTAAACATCCCCCAACACGCCTTGAACAAAGTGGCATGGGTGTTCTCTAAACAGCAATCCTTCTTGAGAAGGATCACCACAAAAGCGGATAAATACATATGCAAAACCATCCAACTCAAGCAAAACAGAATAATCAACAAAATAAACGATTTCTCTGTAAGGGTTCTAAATGGAGGAGTGGCCTCCCGAAACGTCCCATTCATTATTTCTAGGTGGCCACCGATCAGCCACTATAAAAAACATCTGTACGTCTGGGATTTCCACCCTTCTTTCTCATCTAAACGAGTTGCTTTAACATCAAAAATTGAAATAGATTTGGAATCAGGCCGTATCGCTCAGGAAAGCCACGACCCAAACACAGTTTTTATGAACTTGATCAACCCTGATAGGAACGACACTAACAATGCAATTATATTCACAGACGGCTCGAGAAGTGGGGGGCCAGATTCCTGGAATGTGGGAGCCTCCTTTCATATTTTTCCAAATAACTTATCTGAAGGGTTTAGACTCAACAATTATTCTAGCTCCTTCTCAGCTGAAGCTTTAGCAATTAGCAAAGCTTTGGACGCGATCTTGGATAATCTATGGTTAAGAACTAATATTTGCATCGATTCGCTTAGCACGTTGGTTGCTTTAAATTCATGCATGGAGCCTTCTCGGACTAATACCTCCTTTTTTAACAGTCTGAATCCAACTATTAGAAATTTATATAACAAATTATGTTATTGTCTGTCCCATAACAGAGACATCAAAAGATCGG